AATGCTGAAACGGAACTGTAAATGACAAATAGATAAAAGCAACCATATGACATAGTTAGAAGTATTCATAAGCCAAAGGCATTCCCGTCAGAGAGTACTAGTCAAGACAGATACGGAAACATGTGTCAATATGAAGACGTGAGACCACCGAATGATGCGTCCTTATAGATTCTTCTCAGAAGACAAAGAAGCTAAAGCTGTCACCATCTGGGTGTCTCCAACCCCGAGGGGGAATGCCATAGACTTTATACTGTCATACAAACCACATGCTACACACACAAACACGCTACTCACGGTAAAAAAAGAAGAAGAAAAAAAGCCCAGACTGACTGGATGGACATGAAAGGTATTAGGATATCACCATATCAAAGTGTGCTTAAATGCATTCACACCGTACTATTCCGCATGACGAAAAACAGATGAAAGCCTTGTTCTTTTGTTCCGGCGTTAAGCCTCAGTTGGAGGACAGTCATTAGTGGGGATGATGGCTCTTTACATGTGGAAATGTCATTCTTGTCATCTGCCTCCTGCTCGCTGTCTTACAGGACGCACAGGAATCATCAATGGACCAAAGGACTGATTCTCAAGCTCTCTTTCTCTTCAGAGGTTGTTTCTCATGAAAAACATTACTCTAAAACCTGAGACTAAGCAACACTTTTTCTGTCTTTCACTGTGATCAGTGCCTTGACAACAGTTGACGTGTTATATGCATGTGTCTAACACATAAATTGAGAGCTGGCAGGAAAATATCAAAAGATACTTGAAGAATGATGGGACAGCAACTGCAAGAATCCAGACGGAGGGAAACTAAAAAGGAAAAGTCAATTTAAACAGTCGATATTATTGATTTACGTGTTCACCTCCCACCGACTCCAACCGCTGCATCGACCTTATTAGTGGGGCTTGTTAAGCCAAGGATCACTATTACTATTGCTCACACTAATTTGAACAAACCGCTGACCACTAATCTTTGGTGCAAAACACATGCAGCACTATTTGTTAAACACACATGAATGACGTCTCAAAATGTGGGATTTATTGAGAACAACAAATTTAGCCTTAATCAACCTATTTATAAAAAAATTATACAAAAATAACAATTCTCAAGACACCTTGAGCAACCCAGAACAACCTCGCAACCTAACATAGCAGTGTTTTAAATTACATGGCAACCACATTACAGCACAATAGCCCAAAACTCTGTAGCAACTGCATAACAACACATTTAAACCACTCTAAAAACACGGCAAATGCACAGCAACACCCAGGCAAACACCTACAATACCCTAGCAACCACATAGCAACGTGCTAAAAAAATCTCAGAACACAGCAATGCGCTGGAAACATTCAGAACACCTTGCCAACCGTATAGCAATGTATTAAAATAAATGCATAGCAACGCCCTAGCAACCACCCACCACCCACACCCTAGCAAAAAATATATACCCTATCAGCTAGCGCTGTCATGATTAAAAAAAATTCAGCATATACCACAGGGAAAACTGACACAACATTAAGAGCATAAAATTTGAACAGTATCTAAATTTAATTAATAATAATAATAATACTTATACTAATATTAAAACTAATAATAATAATTCAATATCATTAGACAGAAATATATTACTATTGTAAAAGTTTCACTGTACAATTATTTTACTTTACATTGCAGTAGTAAAATTACAACATTTATGAGCTTAAGGACTTTAACTCTCGCAAGTAAAGATGTTATTTTGGCTAAAAACTGCAGGAAAGTCTTTTAAGTTTCTGTGAGAACAAGTTTACAAATGCTTCTCATTACAAATCTAGCTGTAATCATCTGTCTACAAAAAAATAAATAAATAACTGGCACATGCTTAATTTCCAAATGCATATTGAACACACAGCAAATGCAGAGATGCTGTTCGCTGCATTTGCTATGAGTCTGCATAACAACGAATTAGCCGCCACCCAGAACACACTAGCAACTGCATAGCAACACCCTGACAAGCATTCACAGCACACTAGCATCTGAAGACAATGTCAAAGTCTAATTTCTCTTTGCATCAGTCAATATGTCTGTAACATGACCATTTTCTCATTCATTTAAATATCACCTCCACAACACACACACACACACATACATGTACACACAACAAGAACCTCTCTGACATCTTCAAAGGCTATGCGCTGCATGTCTTAATCAGACAACAATCACAAGGGAGCTTTGGTGTACAGTCGAAGACAAAGAACCAACAAAGCAGCCTCTGGAACAAGACCCTAAACCCACGGACGTCTCCACCCCCTCCACACACGAGCAGCAGTGAGGGTGAGCCGAGGTTAGGGACCCTCAGGGTAGCCCCGGGCTGCCTTTCATTAAAACCTAAAATTTGCCTTTTATTCAAGGAACCCATGGTGTAATCTGATTAACTTGCCGAGTAAGAGGAGATCCGGCGAGGTAACGAGATTAGACAGCAGACAGGGTGGAGAAACAGGAAAGAGAAGAACATGGAGGACGGAGGAACAAAGATGGTGGTTTCACATGAAATCACTCTAAAGTACATTACTGTTCAAGAGTTTGGGGTCCAAAAGTTTGAAATAATTTTATAAGTAATGAATACTTTTATTCAGAATGAATGCATGAGAGGGATCAAAAGTGACAGTAAAGACAATTATAATGTTTCTATACATATTTTATTTTTCACAAAATATTACGCAACACACCTGTTATATATATATATATATATATATATATATATATACACAGGTGCATCTCAATAAATTAGAATGTCGTGGAAAAGTTCATTTATTTCAGTAATTCAACTCAAATTGTGAAACTCGTGTATTAAATAAATTCAATGCACACAGACTGAAGTAGTTTAAGTCTTTGGTTCTTTTATTTGTGATGATTTTGGCTCACATTTAACAAAAACCCACCAATTCACCATCTCAACTAAATAGAATACTTCATAAGTGGCATGGAGGTGATCAGTTTGTGGCACTGCTGAGGTGGTATGGAAGCCCAGGTTTCTTTGACAGTGGCCTTCAGCTCATCTGCATTTTTTGGTCTCTTGTTTCTCATTTTCCTCTTGACAATACCCCATAGATTCTCTATGGGGTTCAGGTCAGGCGAGTTTGCAGGCCAATCAAGTAAACAAAAATGTTTATTTTGGATTAGATTAATCGCGATTAATCATTTGACAGCACTAACTTATACTTGCATACATATACATACATTTTTTTAACTAAAATGTTGAAATCAAAAAATTAATCAAAAGTTACGTATTTTGTCTTGAATTTAGGAACCAACCCATTAAGTTTTGTCCACAAACACTTTTGATTCTCTAACCTCCCACTCATTCTCTTATCACTCAGCTCTTTCTGAATGATTAATGGCATATTGATCGCTCTGTCTGCATGTGATTAATGAGGAATACATCTCAGAGACATATCACCTTCTATTGAGCGCTATTACCGCCCGCATGATCACCATCCTTCCACCACCAGATTGGGTTGAGGATAAGCTAATGCTCCCCAATAACACTCCACCCACCCAAAGTCAGACCGCTGAAGGTGGAGTCAATAACTATTTGTCTTCATATTCATTGGATGGTGATGAGGAGCTGCCAGAATTGATGAACCGTCCCAGTTTAACCTTGGATACAAAGACTCCAAAACTCAAACCCAGCTGTATTTGACTATTTCTAAGCATTCAGAAACCTTAGAATGTGACCTCTGAGGATTGAAAGCAAAACTTCCATCAGAAAAAAAAAAAAAGATTCTGCTATTATCTCTTGGCTGAAAACTGACATTTTAGTGAGCTGCTGACTCATGGAAATGGATTCTCATTTCCAATAAATTAGCCTTAACACTACTTCCCATAATAGAAAGGGGGAAAAAACTTACACTGAATAACTCTATTTCTGAAAAATATGCAAAAAATATGCTTAGATAACAAACACACCAATTTTCTGATATGATCAGCATTGTTCCATAGACTACTGGAGTTCAGAAACGTATCCATTATCAATTAACCATATCGTTTTAGCTGACTCAATTTTTTTTTCATGTGAAACCACCTCTATTATCAAAGATATCGTCATGCAGGTTTAATACACCAACCGACAACTGCTTAAACTTACCACCACATTAACAAAAGGGGGACCCCAGTGAACATGGCGGACCCCCTGAAACACAGAGACATGTAAAACTGACAAAATTAAAAGAACGCCAAACTTCTGTGCTTGTGTGCCATTAATTCAAGCACAAACTAAACAAACTCATGAGTAGAATTATATACATTAAATGTCTCAAACATATATTTAGTGAAAATGTACAGGTTTACATGGCATATTTTAGCTTTATGAGAATGTAGACTCAAATGAAATGCACTGATACGATGAAGTGCAGTGCTTCTCAGATTTTGGTACATAAATTGTATTTAAATTGTACTGTTTGAAATAGTTTTTCATGCTTTCTAATTCTTAAATATAATGATAAATACATGTTAGGTTACTTAATATCCACTTTATTATTTTATATTTTTGTTAATTTCAAATTAATTTGATCTGGTATAGCACTACCACTCAAAAGTTTGGGGTCGATAAGATGTTTCTGAACAAAATCTCTTATTTATTAGATCAAAAATACAGTAAAAATAGTAATATTGTGAAATATTATTACAATTTAAAATAACTGTTTTCTATTTGAATATATTTTAAAATAAACAGTAAAAGTCTTTACAGTCACTTTTGATCAATTTTATGCATCCTTGTCGAATAAAAGTATACATTTCTTTAAAAATAAATAAATCTTACTGACCCCAAACTTTTAAACGTATTGTACATATTACATTAACAAGTTCAATACAGCATGACTGTGAAAACTGGATAAATCTCTCAATAAGCGAAAGAAAGAGATGAATGACACCACATGCCCTTTACAGAATAAACAGAAAAGATCCAAGAAGAAAAGCCCAGAGGGTTAAAAGGAAACTGAGTGCATGCAAAGATTTAAGAGTCTTTTATTTGAAAAGAAAACTTCAGCCATACAAAAAACAATGCAAAAGAACAGCAGACATGGACAATTAGATGTTCTATTAATAAGTGAAAACAGTAAATGAAAATGCAAGCATGTGCACAATGTTAGTACAAAAGCAGAAAGCAGGAGAGAAGAACAAGAACTTTCTCATGAAGTCAAAGAAAAACAAGGAAAAGAACAATCTTCAATGTGTCAAAAGAAAATGTTTCTACAATGATTACATTTCAAGGACTTCCTCCCCAAATGTCCATAACAACACTGCAATGCCTCAAATGACAACTCAATCAAATATTTTCAAGAGCTTTGTTTAGGAAAATGGGCTGTTTGGCTTTTTTAACCAGGAACATTTTTTACCTATTGACAGATTTTTTTTAACCAGAAGCCTATTTTTCTGTTCCTTGTAGGATAACAACAGTACTTTAAAGCTCAATTTAAATCTTAGAATCATGGGGATATTAAAACCATTATCCCTTTTTAGCCAAAGCATATGTGTGTATTTCCTTGTGCACAATAACTAACATTCAGAGGTCACCTGAGAGCCTGTGATGCCGATAGTGGTGATACCAGTGGGCTACAGCCAGGGACTCGGGTTCAGAGGCCCTGCGGGGAAGCGCTCTGTAGTGGTGCACATGGCATACCTGTACAGGCGAGTGCTCCAGAGTACGCAGAACCACCAACTGGATGGTTCCTCTGAGGTTCCCTTCAGTCGACATGGAGCGGCGCAGGGTTTCCATGGCATCATGGTTGGAGCGTCCGAGCAGAGATTCGCTATTAACAGCTATCAGTTGGTCATTGATACGCAAGCGACCGTCCTGCAAACAAAAGAAGTCAAACACCAATGTTACATGTACAAGCCACTGAGAATTTACAGAAGTTTAACCTCTGTGAAAAAAAAAAAACCTTTATAAAAAGTTGTCAGCTAGTAGCTACACTAAACCTTGCCTAAACGAGGAGCAAATAATTTTAAAGGTCTTACTTGTTTATTAGTTTTATTATTTGGATTATTGCATTCCAAATTACAGTACTAGTTATAGACAGATTAATTGATTAAAACGCTTACATTTTTACTATAATACTAATATATGTACAGAGAGAGAGAGAGTAGGTAGATATATAATTTACCTATATATTCAGTTAAATACAAAAAAACTAAACAACAAATCATAGTACTAATTATACATGCATTAACCAGAGTAAAAGTGCTTAAACTTTTACTATAATAAAATATATATCTTTTACCTATAGATTTAGTTTGCATTTAAAATTAAATATAAAAAACTAAACAACAAATCATAGTACTAATTATACATGCATTAACCAGAGTAAAAGTGCTTAAACTTTTACTATAATAAAATATATATATTTTACCTATAGATTTAGTTTGCATTTAAAATTAAATATAAAAAAATCCAAAATTAGTCAAAAAAATTAAATACAAAACACACACACACACACACACAAAAACAAACAAATAAATAAAAATACAATTCAGTGGTAGTAAAACAGACTAACCGCATTAAAACCATTTACATTTCTGCTATAAGGTATATAATGTATCAATAAATACACTGAATTTAAAAATGAAATATTAAATCATGTAACACAAAAATCATATCATAGTACTAGTTATAGGCAGATTAATCAGTTTAAAAGCTCTTACATTTTTATTATTTCACTATAATATTATAAAATAATATAAAAAAAACTTCTAACACTAGCGTTCTCTATTCTTTTTCTAGTCTACTGTACTAGTTTTCTTCTTAATTAGAATTTTAAAAAATAACAACTTGACCATCTAACACTAGCTCTATCTATTCTATTTCTTTCCTATCAACTTTTTATAATTTTTTTTTATAATAAAAAAAAACCTTACTACATGTACTGCATTAGACTAACCGGGACTTGTCACAGCCCTTATATATTGTTGCTCTTTTCTTGGATTGATTGCTTCTATTGTCCTAATTTGTAAGTTGCTTTGGATAAAAGTGTCTGCTAAATGATTAAATGTAAATGTAATAAGAAAAATAATTCTATATATTCACAGTAGTATTTAGATGAATTAATTATTTAATAGTATTTACTTAATTAAGAATAATAAATAGGTTCCAAATACAGCATTAAAGTTAAAGATACTTTTAGTCTGATTTGTGAATGAATTGTTCTTTTGAATATGTTATTTTCAATTAACCACCACTATATTTGGGAGGGGGAACTGTTACTAAAAAAGTATTTTTGTTTTTTTTTGACACTGACTGAATTATTGTGACACTGAGGCATGTAGTTAAGTTAGGACAACCGCTACTTTTAGCTAGCTACTCCCAACACTAAAGCCCTATAGTGTGATTTAAAAACATTTATGCAGTGTAGCCTCACTGTTAAATGTTTAACGCATCCCACTATGAATTCAGATACAATTACAGATGCATATCATTAGCGTGAAAAGGCCAGGCCGGAATGAATTGGATTAAGGTTCACAGCTGTGGTTTCCTAAATAAAACTCAGCTGAGGAGGAACAAAAGAGATTAGCAGCTAAAAGCCACTGGAGCCACTAAAGACTCCTGAGAGTCTGTGTCACAGCGGATGATCCTGACCCCCGGGCGAGGTCACTGACCGCAGACCACCGATACCGCCCTGGGAGGGGGTCTCCGGCAGATCGGACCCAAACACTTGTTCCCATCTTTTGAGAAAATATTCTAATGCAGACACTCTGGAAGCTCACAACCCAAGACGGCCTACAACATGTTTGAATTAATTAACTGGCAGAATAACTGTATTACGATAATTTATTCCAGAAATTAGGATGCCGTTTTTAAAATGCATGCCCATTTGATCTCAATCCTGGAGTGTAAATGCTAGAGGAGCAACAGAAAAGCGAGTGAGAGTGATAAGGGTGAACGTCAGAAGTCAAATGAAGAGCTCAGCCTCTGAAAATATCTATTTCTTTGAGCGTCTCTCTGATGGATGCAGCTTGCTCTCTGAGCCCACTCTCCACTGGAGTGCTGATAGGGGCCAGAGACGCAGCTCCACCCGCGAGCCCACTCTTGATTACACTGCTGATAGGAGACAGTAGATGTGCCCTTACCTACACACAGACACGACACCTGCTGCCTGGTTGGACTGATTGAGGAGAGGAGAGGAGTATTCATATTTCTGTAACAGCATTTGGTGAGGTTCACCTATAATATCCCAAACCACAAAAAAAGGCTACAAAAAAGGCCACTTTTCATCATTCATCTAATTTTTTTTGTGGTTTGAGGCCACTTTGGGTGAATCACAATTACCATAATACAGTATTTTCTACATAGCAAGCCAGGTTTGTATTGCTTCCCTAATCATAGTACTAGTTACAGACAGATCAATCTGACAATATTTGGACCGATTAACTTTGACCGAAAACTATGCCTTATCAATGTGCATTTTCGTATCGATGTAAAATATTGTTTTGTGAATTTCTTATTAATATTACGTAAATCAAAAGTTCAATTTGAATTTAAATCATTTTAAAGGGATAGTTCATCCAAAAAAGAAAATTACCCCATGATTTACACACTAGGTGTATATGATTTTCTTCTTTCAGACAAATACAATCGGTGTTATAAAGAAGAAAGTCATATCCACCTAGGATGGCTTGAGGGTGAGTAAATCGTGGGGTAATTTTCATTTTTGGGTGAATTATCCCTTTAAATTAGTTAATGCAATAGCTAATATGAAAAAAACAATGAACAATTTTTACCATATTTTTTTTAATAAAAATAACATTAACTGATTTCAGTTTATTAATCTAACATTAATTTCTACAAATAAAAAATATTAAATAAAATAATTAAATAAAACTAATATATTTTAACATTTTTAACAAGCTGCATAAACAATAAGGTATGATGAACAATATTGTGTTTATATATTTATAATAGTAAATGCATTTATTTAATTTTTAAAGGTTTTTAGTCATGTGTAATGAACAACAGTATATTTTAGTAGTGTATTATGAACTGCAGTATATAACTGCATTTAAATCAGAACTGTATGCCATTCTGTAGTGACATACACAGGATTGGAGCGACTTTCATGACTGAAGCTCTCCGATGACTGGACGTTGGATGAACGAGCTGCTCTTTACCTTGTGTGCGGCGCCGCCGTGGATGATGGACTTGATGAAGATGCCCAGGTCGTCTCCAGTCTCTCGAGACTTATTACCCTTCAGACTGACCCCTAGACCAGCTGAGCCCGAGTCATTCAAAGGAACTTCAAACATCAGCTGCTCCCGCCCATCCTCAGACAGAAGCGGACCTGATGGCTCTCCTTTCTGCAAATAACACACACACACACACACACACACATACACTTAGGTCAGTATCTCAGCTGACTTTCCAAACCAAGTAAATCTTAGCATGTATCCCAGTTCAGCTACAGTGGGGGAAATATTTATTTGATCCCCTGCTGATTTTGTAAGTTTGCCCACTTACAAAGAAATGAATGGTCTGTAATTTTTATGGAAGATTTATTTTAACAGATATATCAACCAAAAAATCCAGAAAAAACACATTATATAAAGGTTAGAAATTGATTTGCCCCACTGACTACAACTGCATTACTGCACATGTAATTTTTGCTTGCGTTTACAGACTACGAGATGAGTCGAAATTATTGTCAATGGTAATCAACGTCATGTCACAGATGCAGTCGATAGAGTATTGCAGTCGATAGAGTATTGAACATGGAACACATTTCAATAAGATAATGGATGTAGTTAGATGAAAATCTTGAGATGAAGGAGCATTACAGTTTAAAAGTTTAGGGGGCAGTAAGATAAAAAAAAAAAAAAAAAGTAAGTAGTTTATTATGCCCAACAAGGCTGCAATTATTTGATAAAAATTTAGTATTTTAAGTAGTAATATTGCAATATATTATTCAAATTTCAAATAACTGCTTTTTGTATGAATATATTTTAAATGTAATTTATTCCTGTGATGTAATGACAAGCTGAATTTTCAGCATCATTACTCCTGTCTTCAGTGTCACGTGATCCTTCAGAAATCATTCTAATATGCTGATTTGTTGCTTAAGAAACATTTCTTACTATTATTAATGTTGAAAACAGTTGCTTAATAGTTTTGTGGAAACTGTGATACATTTTTTTCAGGATTTTATTTTATGTATAAAACAAAAAAAAAACAGCATTTATTCAAAATAGAAATGTTTGTAACATTCTAAATGTCTTTACTGTCACTTTTGATCAATTTAATGCATCCTCACTGAATAAAAGTACTAATTTCTTTCAAATAATGCAATAAAGTGTTTATTTTAGATATGGATCCCAGCTATATAAAGTAGGATTAGGACGGAATGAATGCATGTCTAATGGAGAGGCAGGAAACACGTTGGGGGTCATTTGATTTGAACGTGAAAGGGTGAGATCATGAGAACGTGTCAGTTCAAAAGGAAACATAAAAAGCTTTTGTCAGAGATTCATTTAGGAGGGAGGGGTTTGGGAACAAAATGTAAGACTAATAACTCAATATTGAACACATTTACACACACACAACTATCCAAACATTTCACTTCTCTTTTTGCATTCTTTGACTCCTAAACATCCTATCAAAGAGATCAAGGGTGTCAGTGCCATGGTCTTTGACCTTTTCTCCACATCACGTCCTTCTTCTATCCACTATCACATCAATAAAACATGGCAAAAAGACCTAGAATAAAGTGCAATGCCTAAATGTGACTGACATCCTCCTGGAAACCACATTAAGCAACAGCATTAGCCTGTTTCTAAGCTACTGTGGAAATGGGCCAGAGGAAAAAGAAACAAAAATGACTTTGTAGGAGCACAGAGTTGGGCAAAAAGCATTAAGTAAGAGCTAACGATGAAAAATAGGAGGGCCAATGGGGCAAAGCTTCAAGTAGTCCTTTTAGCGCGTCCTCTTACTGAAGATAATGTGTCGTACATGGCCTGAGGCGGACAACAAATCAGAGTTTTAGCACACAATAAAAGACCTGTTTGTAAGTGAGGTCAAACTTTGGTCCCAGCGAGAATATCAGATTGTCTGATGCCGCTCTGGTGGTCCTATCGACACTTGAGGTCCAGGCTTCACATGAAGACCTCCTGAGGGCAAATACACACTAATATGCTCTCATACATACAATATGACGGACTGTTTTAACTAAAGTACATGAGTAAAAGCTGGCAAAAAAGGTCAGCGGCACTATAGAGTAAAAAAGGATCCATGTCGGGAATAAGCGGAGTGAGTTAAACAGCATTGACAGATAAGCACAGGCCTATGGGCAATGCAAATAAAAACCACCATATTTGGGCACCTGCAACTCTAAATTAATAACAGTATTAACATTAGAATTAGTAATTAACATTAACTGCTACTGCTACTACTACTATTCTTATTAAAACATGAAAAATAATAACATAATAAACAATTAATATTAATAGGTTAAACAGAAATTAATAACTGTATTAATAACAATTAACATTAATAAGATAACAAATTATAATATTAATATGAATGCTTTTATTAATATTAATCTCACTTAATTGCCAATTGATATCATTATTACATTCATATTAACTGATAATATTATTAAGTATTAACATTAATAAGATACTAATGGACTGGATACTAATATTGACACTAATAGGAATTCATTTCAGTATTAAGAGTAATTCATATTGATATAAATTGATAACATTATTATTTGTTTAATATTAATACTACTTAATATGTAATAACTATAATATAATACATCATTAATATCAACAGTAACAAACATTATCCCTTCTTTGTCTTCTTCAAATAATAATAACAACAGTAATAATAATAATAATATCAAATTAATACCTAATAGGAATAAACATTATTAACATCACACTAGTAACTGATATTAATATAGGATAATATATTATAATAATATGAATTAACATTTAACTTAAAATCCATTAATATTAACTGAAAATATTAATATTAAAAAATGTTATCAACATTAATATTACTAATAAAAAAATAAAATTATATATATATATATATATATATATATATATATATATATTTGAGGAGAAACACCTCAGACAAAACTGATACATCAATGAAACATAACTGAGATATTCTTAGCAAAAACATTTTCCATTTTACAACATCTGAGCAACACTATTTTCCTCTTGTTCTGGAAGCAGTCTCATAGCACCCCAACAACTTCACAAAGAAAAGATATGCGTCACAAAAACCAAACTTCAGTCTACCGCACTAATCGTGAAACTACAGTGTGATTCACACCGTATTTTGAGAGGAAGTCTTTGTATCATTTACACAAAAACAATCCATGGGAAATGTGTTTTGATGCCCTGGTTAGAAGTCAATGCACCTTAACCCAGATACTGACCTAAATTAGAATTGATGTCAGAAGGCCGTTTGCTATTACATGAAAGCATCTACAGTTTTCAGATTACTCACAGCTTTTTAAAAAAGTCCACTGGGTTTGGAAAGAAGTGGCCGTGACCCAAATAACAAATATAATTAAATGGGTCATGACAAAGCAAGACACATCCTGTGTGTAGGAAGAGGAATTATTATTAAGACCATCTCAAGGACATCTAAACGCTCCATCAGCCCCATGGATGACCTCTCTTTCTGTGAGTGCAGCTGTGTGCAATGTGCTGTCTGACCCCTGTATCCTCGCAGAAATCTGAATCAAAGGGTGGAGAACAGCAGCTCAAACATCAAACTATCCAGGCCCTTCAGAGTCTAAATTATGACTGCAAATTAGTTACAAACATAAATATTCAGCTTTTACAGCAAATTTCCTGTGAGAATATCACATTACAGTGGTGGTATTAGATTCAATATACTCGGATAAACACATTGGTCGACTAAAGACTTGATTTTTAGATCATTTATCTTGAATATAGACTAAGTGTACTTTGTCTAGTGGAACACCACAAAAATCACTAAATATAGCCATGTTATTATTATATTAAAGACATTTTTGCAGTGCATGCTGGAACAGATCTAAATGCATGTCTAGTGGGCACAAAACATATTATATTACAATTTAATTTGATGTTTGGCTGATTTATTGCTGCAGGCTATCAGGTATAATTAATATGTTGCTGTAGACATTAATTTCAACTACTGCATTAATTTACCCTTGCAGTACATGACGAATTGATGCCAAATCCAGTCGGCTTAGCTTTAATGCAATGGTCATCTTTAGACATTTATAGTTTTCCAAAGCAATCTCATTAATATACATTTACAAAACAAGCCCACAAACTCTTGTATATGTCTGATAATTGAAAATGTATTTCTACACAACGATTCATATGCTGTTAACAACATTCCACAAGTTAATCAGATTACAAATATACAACGCATTTTAAATGCAAGAAAAGTGTTTGCTTTAATGTTTCAAATAACATTTGCGAAATTTAATTTACCCTTGCAGTACATGACGAATTGATGCCAAATCCAGTCGGCTTAGCTTTAATGCAATGGTAATCTTTAGACATTTATAGTTTTCCAAAGCAATCTCATTAATATACATTTACAAAACAAGCCCACAAACTCTTGTATATGTCTGATAATTGAAAATGTATTTCTACACAACGATTCATATGCTGTTAACAACATTCCACAAGTTAATCAGATTACAAATATACAACGCATTTTAAATGCAAGAAAAGTGTTTGCTTTAATGTTTCAAATAACATTTGCGAAAATAAAATGCCAAAATATGGGTGAAATAATGTCCCATCGTTATTCAGCTTAACAGATATATATTATGTACAAATGAAACATACTTAGTCTGACCTAGTGGTTTAAAAGATAGTGGCAATGTAAAATTGTCATCTAAAGATTCTTGAGATTTTTTTGGTATATGAGCTATTGTTGAAAATGAATGACATTTTAGTGGGTGTCTTTAGAAAAAATGGCAAGTAATAATTTTTTGCTCAGAAAAAAATATAATTAAATAGGACATTCTAATGTATTGTGGAAAAATTAAATCTGTATTAAAAAATATAAATATATACATAATTATAATATATATATATATATATATATATATATATATATATATATATATATATATATATATATATATATATATATATACTATTGCTTCATTCTCCTCAAAGCTCCTCAAAGGCTGATAATCCAGTACAATAACAAAATGTAAATTAATAAAAATGACTATGTTTTTTGGGAATTAATAATCAGCTCTGACCAGTGCAAGACCATCCTATGCCAGTTCATAACTAGCTAAGTGGCGTAAAATGGATTTAGATGGATTTTCCAG